TGTGTGTGTGTGTGTGTAGGTAAGAATGGGGACTTATTGCCCACCACGGAGGAGGCTGAGGAGCTGGTGCGTGCACTGCAGGCTATGGGGTCCTACCCAGACTCTTTGGTGTGCTTGACCTCCATGGGAGACCTGGCGCCCTCTGAAGGAGTGGACCACCGCGCCTTGACTGTGTTCCCTGGTCCGGTCCAGCCGGGGGGCATGGGGGACCTGCTCAACAGCCGCATCCCTACAGAGAACTTCACCAGCCTCGAGCTGGAGGACAATCTACTGCAGTCCACCGGGGGTCACTTCCCCCCGTCGCCGCCATCTCAGCCCCCAAACCAGCCCCCAACGTCGTGCTCCAACCTGACCTCGTCTTCTTCTACAGTAGCCCCCCCCACCACCTCCCTGCTCACTCAGACCTCCATAACAGAGCGAACGTTTTCCCGGACACACCCATCCCATGTGCTGGCCAAGTCGGACGCACCCACAACATCTCCCCAAGGCAGCCACTACAGCAGTGAGCACGTGCCATCCCCATACAGTGACCACATATCTTCTCCCCATGCCAGCTCCTTCCAGACAGACACCCCTCTGCTGCTGGAAGTCCCCCTCAGCGGGGTACCAGGACCCCCACGCTCAACATGGAACAATCTCGCTCTCCCCCTCACCGACCCCACGCAGTTTGGCAATCTCATAGGATCCGAAAGTCATCTAATATCCACCTCCCTGTCCACTCCCCCGGCCACCACCCACTCTGTGACGCTGCAGCCCATGGCTGCGCTCTCAGCGATGCCCCAGAGTGGTTTGACGGGTTTATCGACTTCCCCTGCCCCCTCATCCTCCCTCCCATCCTCTTCACATGATCTTTTGACCTCCACACAGCCCAAGCAACAGCTCCCTCAGTTCAGCGCTGCCTTTGGCCATCAATTGGCCTCCCACAGTGGCATCCCAAAAGACGTGCAGCCCAGTCACAGCTCCACAGCACCCCCCGCTGGCTTTTCCATAGTTAGTGCCACCGCTGTAAGTGCCAACAGCGCCACACCACCCTTCACGCAAAGTAAATGAGAGCAGGCGGCCTGCAGAGGCTGCGCGATGGTTTCGTGGACTCAGTCACTTACAATCCAGGCGACTGGCTTTCTGACTGACCACCCTTCTTCATCTGCTACATGTGTGCAATGTGGTAATAGTGCACTATTTGATAATGAATTTGCACAACCTCAGATTTTCCTCGACATTTTCTATTTTCGTTCTTTTATTCTGCAGCCAGACGGTCTCCGGGATTTTAAGTCAGTGTGAGTCCACTCGTTTGATGCCTTGTGGTTTCGTCAGCAGGGGCTAACAGTCAGATTTTATGGTGAAATTAATGGGTGAAGATTGGCGGAAGGACCTTAGCAGAGATTATGTGTCACAGTGCTCAGAGTTCATTGACGTAGAAGCCTCAATCAGTGGTCGCGTTGTTTGCTTTGCCAGTTCAGTCCTGTCTTTAAATGATCAACTGTACCCTGCCTTGCTCAGATGGTCATTGCGTTTTTATTTTTCCACCTGTTCCATACACTGCTTCACCCTCTGAAAAAGAAGAGTACAGGTTGTGACACGTGACCCATTATGTTTCAAGCTATTTAACTGTTATCATGATATAGAATCTTACTGAGTCAGATTTCACAGTCATATAAATTTACCAAAATACTTTTAAACAGCTGTTTTTATATTGTGTATACTGTATATGTGCTCATTTATTGGTTTGCTCAGATGTCAAAATCTCTGACCTCACCATTGGTTGTGGGACTCTGAGTGGCCTAGTAGACACTTGAAGGTAAATATAGTTTCTTAAAGCAATAAACACATTAACATAACTCTAGCATTGTAAGGTATTTTATTGGTCTCATTACATGTAGCTTCACTTGCTGAAACCAGGCTGGATCAGGAATATATTTTGGTCTCTATAACTGTTGTAAACTGTTTTTTTTTATTTTACAACAGTTTCACTCAGAACCAGAGCCTATAGAGACCAGTGATCAGGTCAGCCTAACTCCTTCTCTCGGGTCACACCGGGTGGATTTTTTTTAAGGCTAATAAATGAGTTTCAGTGTTAATGTTAGGGGTGATGATGGCGAAATCCAGGGACTTTTAAGTGTCTACTTTCAAAGGTGCTCTCTGGTCCACATACACAATGGTCATTAATGACTTTCATGTCTCATAAAAGGCTAAATCAGTTTCAGGACTCCAAGGAAACCCACTTTAATAGGTCAAGGCCAGACGAACCAGAGAAGGTGTTAGGTAGTAATTTAAATGGCTTAAATTGGTGTGTTGAGCATGTCTGAGGTAAAGCAAAGTAGGTTTTACTCTAAAAACTCTATTATAAAGTGATTTTTAAGCTAAATGATGCAAACTTGGGGTCTGATTTGATTTTTTTATAAAAATGAGAACTGCCACCCGAGGGCTCGTCCCCTGTCTGTTAATGACTCATACAGCAGTACAACCATTTTTAATAAATATTATATTAGACATTTGACAGATTGTCAGACATTGTTGAGTATTAGGTATATAGAGTAGCAGTCTCTATCTTGGGGTTTGTTGGTGAATTATTGAGTAGCAATGGATTGAAATTGTTATTTGCAATGTATTCAGTGGAACCTGTGTCTTGTGGAATGAGTCTCTTCGCTTTTTAATGGCTATCAAAATGTTTGTTAAGTTCTCTTTGAATTTGGAGGGATCAATGTTTGTATGCCGTGTATGCTGTCATTCTGTTTTTAAAGAATATCCTGATGGAGAATATTTTTGATAGCTATTAAACTCCAGGAAGAAGTCTGAGATCGCATGGGGGCATCAACCTTCTGTGTGAGAGCGTTATAATATTATTAGATTATGGTCACTGGCTTGATTGTCGGCAGTATGAAACATAGGAATATATGCATTGCCATTTCATTTTGTGGAGAAAAACAGATTGACGTACAGTATGTTGTTTTTCGACATGGATTTGCACAGGAGTGGATGAGGCCGGTGGAGTTTCATATGTCCCGTGTCTGTCTTGCCTTTTTTTTTTTTTTTCCCCTT